CTGCATAATAACTGAGAAATCCGCTCAACGTCAGCAGAACATTGTTTTGTCCGTGAAGAATTCCCAACTGAAGGGACACACCCGACGATTTGAGATATTTCTTTCCGATATTCCGACTTTGAATCTGAGATACGGAGAACGCACAGACATCAGGTATTGTTTGAATTCTGTGACGTGAACAATTACGAAAGCGGCGTGCCGTTAGCACGAGCGGAGAAATCAAGATAGAGCCGTTAAGAGAGCACGATAACGCGGCCGTTCGATGGCATATTACAATTTTAGTCCCTCGTAGGGTGCTAATTTATTTTAGCCGCATCGACTTTTCCGCGAAAGCATCGATCAAGTTCCATTACAGCTTCCGACGTCCGACGCTCTCGGACACACCCCTTTCGCATTCGCCCTTAAGCATATAATATCGTTACCTATCCCCGCGGGCCGACAACGGGTTACTACGGAGTTGCGGGAAGAACGACCAGTTTCGGGCTGAGCAGTGTGAAATTTATCGTTATTCTAAGAGATATCGTGACTTTCTTCGATTAATTAAAACATAACGCACAACGCACGAGTTCTCAAAGAAGAAGAAGAAGAAGAAGAAGAGATGCGACGATCAGGGGAAGCGACGTTAAGAAATATTTACCAATTTCCCAACGTTGACTTACAATTTCGCGAAGATGCTTCATGACGCGACAGACATATTTCACGTGGAATCGACGATATCGATTTCCGCAAATCACGTCGCCTCCCTCTCGGGTGATTTTTCTCACGACCGACGCCCACGATTGTTAAACGACGTCGAACGTCGGATTCGTTTTCCCGATTATCAGGACCGCGATGGAACGAGGAATCCGCGCGCGAGACGCCCGACTCGGCGAGGGATCGGCTCGAAAAACGGCGTGAAAAACACAGCCGATGCTTCCTCGAGCCGGCGACGATTTGAGATCACTCACGTGTCTTACCACCGCGCCGCCATCTTATCCGTCCGCCATGCCAAGTCCGACCCCCACCACTGACATCCGTCTCTCTCGCGAACGTTCGTTACCGCGATGAGAGAAGCTTCCGGATTAGCAGCTGGAGATAACACGGACGAATGAAAGATACCGATGCATGAAACTCGGCGGGCCGATTTCGCAACTGCGAACTACGTGACGCGCGCTAAGTCGTCTCTTCATAACGGCCTGAGAGTTTCTCTCTCTCTCTCTCTCTCTCTGTCTTTCTATCTTGCGCGTGCGAAGGTTAACACTACTAACATGCGCGGAGCAATGAATCTCGGCGTCACGCCGAGAATGATTCGTTCTCGCGTCGCGTCGCAACTCGATGAGTCACGGTCCGCTTTCGAGCACGTTATCGAGGTCCGCGCCGATTTTCGAGACTCGAGGCGGTGGTGGCCTCGATTCGATTTCGCGAAAACGTACAATGTCCCGGGCGAATAAATGAAGGAGGGAGAGGCACAGGCAGGCGCATCAGACGGGATGGGACATCCGCGACGCGTAATATTTTCATCTTCTGCAGAGGGATATAAGAATTTTTCGACGTATCTCATATCTTCGCCTTCCTTCCTTCACGTCGACTCGACGGGTCGTCGCACGGATCTCAAGATGGAGGATCACCATATGCAATATGCAGGTATCTGATAATTAACACGACACTTCGTGAGCAACGTTGAGAACTGGGAAAAAGTCCTCGAATGTTCTGTGATTTCCGTGAAATTCATCGGGGAAACTAATTGCAGGGAAAATCGGGGAACGCGCGGCGACACGAGGAGGGAGAGGAGGCACCACAGCCTCTAGGAACAAGGTTTGTTTACAACCTCTTCGCGGGCACAGCCTGCGGAACAGGTTTTTGGAGAGCGTACTTTTAGCATCCATTTATCTCCCTCGAGTTTAATTCATAAAATTCTTCTTTTCCAGTCCACTTCTTCAACTCCGGTTATCGGTGTCCCGATGTTCCCGCCGGAGGAAAATTCGAACCCCGAATTCATTGGAAAATAAATGCGGCGGAAAACGAGCACGCTGTAAACACACGCATACGCGAGAAACTGAGATAGAGATAGGGAGGAGAGGAGGGAGGGGGAAAAAAAGAGAGAGAAAGAGAGAGATCGTCTCATTCTCCCCAAGGAGAACTCTGTTATTTCGCAAACGCGACCTTGCCTTCCTGGAACGCGAGTGCGTCCTTGGACACGGAGGTCATCGGCTCGTAGAGGAACTCTCGCTTGTCCGTCGTTGCCGCCGCCGTCGTAGCTCACCTTGGCGAATGTCGATGATCGATACGATCGTCGAATTTCGCGTTCTGAGTCTCGCGATATCCGCAGGACGGCGGCGGCGACGAGAGCGCCGGCGTCGACCGGTGGCAGCCAGACGACACGGCCAATTTTCAGGTAGTTCTTATGTTGACAGGAGCTGTTAGTTCGCGCATGGGCCAACATCGGTAACCAAACTAGAGGATTGTTCTATTTAACGACGTATCTACATTTTTTTCCACGAATCTTTCGGTCCTTCGTGACCCGATTTATCCTCCTCCTCTCCGTATCCCCCATTAAATTTAACTTCTTTTGATACAGCATAATGCGCTCTTCATTCCAATAGCGTCGAATATGATAAGAAAATACTATATGATATCACATTTAACAAAGCATATTAACCTTAATCATGCGCACTGGGGTCGTTACGGACCCCAGCCGGCTCATATTTTCACTGCTTTTCCCCTTATACTTTCAATAAAATAAAAGATTCCGGTGAAAAAGACACTCGCGAGCGATCATTCTATTCTACAGACTTCAAAGTATATACACGACATCTTATACATTTTTACCAGCACTTTTACAAACTTGCGACAAACGGGGACACAAGTGACTTGCATGTCAGATTAAGGTACCAAAAAAGAAGTGAGCACGATTAGGGTTAAATAACTGATACGTAGCTGATACGTAGAAAATGTCACATCGTTGGACGAAAAATCGAGTAAGTCAGAGACGAAAGTCGAAATACGGGCGGATGGAAGAGTCGTCAAGGTTTCGAGCCAAGGTGTCAACATCCAAAGAGTACATCAACGTATCGGGACGCCGTTTGGACGTCTTCGCAATATCCTCCGGATAGCGTTCGCGGCTCTGCCTCTGAATAAAGCTACGTGCACGCGTGTCCACGGATGTTCCGCAAGACGCACCGCATCCCAAAGAGGGACAGGTATCTACAAAAGAAGAAGGGACGGCGGGACATCCGCGGCATGCGTGAATGTGTACGCGGCTCGAGGAGAGGCCGCGTATCTACTAGCGAATGTCGCGCGACGGCCACCTATTTTTACGGCTGATCGGCGGAGAAGCACCGGCCGACTACTCGTCATGGAGAGATATCCAATCGCAGAGATCGCCTTCCTAGGGACACCACCTAAGTCCTAGTCTACGATAGACGCTTGGAACCTTAAGAAATTGGCCAATAACAATCGAAGATTTCAGCCATAGAAGAACGATCGATCGTGATCGGTGAATTTCTTAAGGCTCGGAGCTTAAATTCTCAGTCGCAGACCCCGCCTTTAACGACGACGTCCGTCGAGAGTTCGTCTCTCGAAAACGACCTTCCCCCGTTGGATATCGGATATCGCACCGGCTGCATGCAGCAGCCGTGAATCCCGCCGGTTACTTCGTGCCATTTTTATCGGTTCGGCGGCATTTTCGGACGCGTCGTCGCGTCGGTGGACCACAATGAGTATGTGACTCGTGCGTTCGAAAATAGAGAGGCGCCGCTCCTCGTTGGCCCGCTCGAGAAACCCGTGCGCGCCCGACAGCGACCGTGCAGACGCAGACGACTACCGAGAGACGACGATGACGACGCTTATCATTATCCGCCTTATCGGCTGAGAATTACGTAAGCACCGAGTCGCGTCGCCCACGTCATTCGTAGTCAGGGGCTTCGTGGGTGCGCGAACGAGGGTACGGATCGGGAGAACGCGAGGGCTCTTCGTGACGTGATCGAGCGCGTTCGCGGAATTACACACATATACACACACACACATAGGTGCGGAAGAAAGTTAGATTTCTCCAGGGATATTTAAAATATCGAAACATGCTTGTGTGTGTGTGTGTGAATCAAATATGCATAATTGTAATACAAAGATGCCGAGCGAAAATTGTTCGATGCAACACGTTGAAGAAATTTTAGGATTAATGAATAAATTTTAGGAGTGATGTGTGTGTGTGTCGATTTCAATACGAGAAAGGGGGAGGGGGGTAGATATAGAGAAAAGTTTCGAGCAATCATACGGAACTTCTATCGGTAACCTTCGCGGTTCCGGTCACGGTTGAACGCGCGCAAGATCGCGAATTTCCAAGCGGCGATGAAAAACGCGAGATACCAAGCAGGAAAAACGCATCTCGCGGGGCCCGTTCGCTCATATTATGCTAAGCATGACAGACGCAATTTTCCCAAGCAATTGGGTCTAATTGCTCCACTTTCGCAATTCAGGGAATACGCTGGGAATAGGATTCGGCCGAAAGTGAATCATCTGGAGCACCGGGAGTCGGACTATCTCGCGTCTGCTCGCGATGGTAAATCGCGTCGGAGCGTGCAGAAATCGAACGTTCGGATTGCAAAGGTAAACGAGAGCGTGGGGAAAGTTCCTCGACGTCGCGTGACAGTCGACTCGCTGAGAATCCGAGCGGCCAAACTCGTGTAATTCCGCGGAGCTCCGCGTATATAAGTCCGTTTTTCTTTCTCTTTTTTCCTTTCTTCTCATGCACGTCTCTCCGTTGGCCGGCGAGCAACGAGCGAGCGAACGGCGCCGCGGGGTTTCGCGGCGATCAACGGCGTACCTACCTACTGCGCAGATTCCGTGTCACGCGGTTGCCTCTACGTCGCGCGGAAAACTCCGGCGGGGCCGTTCGCGCGCTCTTTCTCCGCGCGAGTGCGCGGCCGAAAACGGTCGCGCGCGCGCCTCCGCGACGACGACGCGTATTTTTCCTTTTCTCCTCTCCTCAATTCCGCTCAGGTATTCGTGGATCTCTCTCTTACCTGCATCTCGCGTCTCCCAGGGTTTTCAGCGGCGTCCCGTCCTCTCGCGCTTCTCTTTCGTCCGCACGGATCTGTCATCTCTCTCTCACCCGGGGGGCACCTCTCGCTCACTCGACGCGCCTCCTCGCGACGATCGTCGCACGCCCTCCCGTGTTATTATTCCCCGCACTATCACTGTACCGCGAAATCGTCGGGATGCCGCGTGTCCCCTCGCGACAACAACGCGGTCCTTCCCCGCCGGCCGAGCCATGTCGCCTGACGATTACTCGATTCGTGCCGTTTTCGTCTTTTTCACTCTCGATGGGCCGACTTTTCAGGCGGCGAGGACGCGACGATCGCGGCGAGAAGGCGCAAAACGCTTCGCACGGCCGATGCGCAGCACGACTGACTCGCGTGCGCAGAAGCGAGGAGCGCGGCCGACAGACGCAGTTCGAGCCGAGACTAGAGAGAGCGGTGGTAGCGGCGGCGGCGGCGACGACGGCCGGCAGCGACGTTGGCACACGCAGTGTCGCGGCCTCTCTCGTATTACACACTGGGTGGCCCGGCTTAGCGCAAAGTGCGGTTAAAATGGCCGCGAATGAAGTATCTCTCTCTCTCCTCCTCGCCACGCGTCATTTATCCTCGTCCAACGACTCGGTACCGTCTCGTAGTTTACGTTAACGGCACCGCGTGCTCGCTCGCGTTCGCGGAACTACGTCGTGAACTAGCCGTAGGGCAGATATACGCGAAGAGGCGAGTAAGGATGCGCGCGCGCGTGTAGCAGAGAGAGGGAGACACGACGATGTACATAACACGCAGTAAATAGCGGTAGACACGCGCGAGAAGCCGCGTGCAACTACGGCATGAGCGAGAGAGAGAAGGAGCGGAGTACCTCGGCACGCAGCGCGCGAGTCGACCGAACGCTTCTCGAGGATGCGAGCGCGGCCAACGCCGCGGCCGGCCAGCGCCGAAACTAAGAGAGTAAATAGCGGGTCGACGACGGTGAACTGGTGTGCGCGGGACGGCGGGAAGAAAGGGAGGCAACGTTCTCGAGCGCGTCGGCCGAGCGAGAAACGCGAAGAGGGGCGGGTAGGGCAGACATCTCGAGAGTGCGTCGGGCCAAGTGCGCGAGTGTCGTCACATCCGGTATTCGGGGTGGCGCTGTACCGGCCCGAGACTGTGTATGTGTGCGCGCACGTACGTGCGTGCGCGCCGCGATAAAAGCGACCGTCGCGCGCACACGTAACCGACGCTCGTGTGCGCTCCCGCGGGCAGGGTGAGGGGGGCCGAGTCGCGGCGTAATACGGCGGCGACGACGACGATGACAACGCGCCGACGGGAAATGATGTTTTGCGGATCGCCGGCGGAATCGCGCGTCTTTACTCGCCGCGTTGGTTATATCGATAGGTGGTGCCGAGCGTAATAAGCGAAGAACGCGATATTTACGATGCCGACGATATTGGATGCGTTGATCCCGAAAGGTCAAGAAACGGATGCACGCCGTGAATAGCGTGATCGCGCGTTCGGAGAGCCGGGTAAACACGCGCTGCGAGGACACATCCGTTTTCCTCGGAATCTCCGGTATCGCTGCTTATCACTCCGAAGTGAAGTAGAGAAGAAGAAAGCGAAATACTAACGGGGAAGGAGGATGTCGGAACGGAGAACGAGATGTTGGGAGAAATCGCCGAAAAAGGATCGTTCATTCGGAAATTATTTCTGCACTGGGACAGATTATAGTTATTTTTGGACTCAGCTAGACCCATTTTGTGACTTGAGAAAGAAATCAATAGTAGTAACATGCAAGGTTATTTATTATTGGTACCGGCAATACTAGAAAAATAGTTCTCCTGGCTATAATTCTTTCACTATGATGGTTATAGTTACAAATATTAAATTTTTTTTTCTCGATCTATAATGATCGGTTTTAATCGTATAGCAGATAAAAACTGTAGTTAAAAGAAACTTCTTTCTTTCCTTTCATTTTTTCCGTGGATTTATTCGGTTCCCTTCACGGAAAAAAAATTTGAGAAAAAGCCGGAATTTTCCTTTAATTTTTCCACGTTTTCCTCGATTTCTTTCGCGGAAAATGGAAAAAAAACCCGTGGTTTTTTCCGAACTTTTAAAACTATATTAAAAACTCGTAGCATCCAGGAAAAACTATGATTATATTATTTTATGAGCTCGATAAGAATTATTTGTTGATTCATAGGCAAGAGTCGTTAGCCGAGAATGAAAATGATGATGATTATTACATGTTGGCCTGATGAATGGTCGTGGGCACGTCTCGGAATTAGCTTTAGCAAAGATGCGACGCGGGCGTTCCAGAATCATAGCCCCGTGTACGATATCCCATCGGTCCTCGATGACGTGCGTCGGCACGCCTGCTCGTTTGACGTTCGGACGACCGCGCGGAAATTCATTTCCTCGTGGACGCCACCAGTTATTATTATTCTTGATAAACGACCTCGGCTGCGTTCTCAGCTTCTACGTAGATAGGTAACGTGACGCGTGACGTAGACGTTGCGAGTCGCGACAGACGTCACGCGTCCTCGTGGCGACTAGCGCGATTCACGCGTAATTGAACTTTCTCGCCGAAACTGCGATCGACGAGTCGAGAGATTCGGGGGCACCGTTTTGTCACGATTAGCACGCCGGGAGTTACGAGTCGCGGCGGCCGGTGTATCGGTGAACGAACGATCGATTCAATATCGTTTCCCCGCTAAGTAGGATGTCATTATAATCCCGGGTTCGGATAAAACGTCCATTAAACATTCAACACTAAGCCTACAAAAATTTCACCTATCTGAAGGTGACGAATGTCAACGGAAATTATCTATGCCTCAAATTGAAAGTTTATCAAAGCAAGCTCCTCCACCTGAAATTAGCTTTTATACTAAGCTAATTTCAGATAACTTGCTCCGGTCAAAATTTCAATTTCAGACTTGATTGCGAAGATGCATAATGCTGAAAATTTAAAAGCTGAAAGAAACAATTACCCTCCCCGAAACTTTCGCCAAGGCAAAATCGTCTGTAAATACTTCGGAGAATCTGCTGTTACAAAATAATGCGATAGAAGTGAGACATTCTCTATGTGTGTATGTGTACGTATTTGCCTGCTTTTTCGTCACGCGCGTGACATGACGTTTGTCTCGCGACAATACATGTGCATCACGATATCGCTATTTGGTGACACTCGCGGCTGCGATATGCCAATGTCGACCGGACAGAAAGTTTTCCCGGCACTTCGCTCGACAACGAAGAGTTTCCCTTTCACTCACATTCGTCTTAGACATTCGTTTTTCGAAGTTCGCCGGCACTTTTGCCGTAATCTGATTCGCGCCAACCTTGCCGTGCGGAATCAAATCATTATCGAGAAAATTATCAAGCAGAATCAACTCACGATCGAGATGATCGAGATTATCTTCACCCGACGAAATATCCCCGACTCTCCGAAAGACACTTGAAATTTAATCCGAAGAAAAAAAACAAAGGAGGGGTAATTCGTGCTGAAAAATTCTCTCTCGGTTGGATCATCCGTGAGTAAAGATGGTGTTTTTTCACGATACACATACGAGGGGAAGGAAAAACCGGTTTCGTCGTTACTCATTGCGAGAATGAATCAGAAATTTTCTCAAAACCCCATCCGAGTGATTCGTAATCTTGATTCCGGCGAACTTGAAAACCTGATGAATCTATAGTGAAATGATATACTACGAGGGAATGACTCGACCTATGCGTAAGATTACGTTCCGGCCAGTGTGCGACGGATGAAAGGAACGTTTCCGGGTATAGTTCGATGATTCAAACAGCGAACTGAATCTCTTGGTTGCGCTAATAATCGAAATCGTTGCCGGATGACAAAGGAATGGCTGGAGAGTGACTGGACAACGGTGTGCCGTATTAGCGATATCATTTAGCCGACGACTGCGATCTCTCCTGTTCCCAATGAGACACGAGACTGTTTCGAATGCTTGAATGCCCCAGCTACTCGCTCAGAACGCTTTCGATAGTAACTCGGTCATTATATCAAATGTAATTATAATAACGCACGACCAAGTCCGGCCAAATTGTACGAACGATCAACTCGGACCGCTCGGGAGGGAGATCAAAGGAGCCATCGAGCAGTTTTCGCTCGCTCGGGAGCGAGACATCGAGATGTCATTTCTCGATCTGTCGTCCCTCGAGTTTCGCTACGTTTCTCGATCGCTCGTGCGCTACATTTTGTTAATCAATCCACCACGGTAAAGACGTTAGTATCGCGGCATTATCNGGGGGGGGGGGGGATTCTCACGCGTGCCGCTAATGATTCCCCTTATCTGCGGTGTACGTATACTCCTCTCATCGTGACGTGAGAATGAATCGCGCGATAACGTCACGCCTACGCGTTGAAGATTCCACGTATATTTGACGACAGCGCCGTTGTAGGCGCCGTTGTAGGTGACGTTCACCGCGACGTACCGTCGTACGTACGTCCGACGACGACTCGTGGTCGTCGGAGAAAAGCTCGAAGCTCGTATTCAGCGACAACTATGTCCGTAGGAAAACCGATCAAGCGGAAACGGCAAAATATTCACTCGACATTGCGGGCCCGGAATAAAAGAAGAATCTCCCATTTCCCCGGTCTCTTTCTTCTCTCTTTCATCGAGTCGATTATTCGTCTCTCTCCTATCTGCGACGTCGCTTCCCCGGGAATATTCATCCGCGGTATCCCCGAGAAACGAACTCGCGAGTCCGGATTTTGTGCGAAGCGTTTCCGAACGCGTCGCTGATGATCGCCGTGACCGACTGCGCGCGGCGGACTCGCTGCTTTTCGGCGGTGCGGGGAGGGAGTCACGACGAAAAGTCATGAACGGGCCCCGCATGGAGGACAACGACGACGGCCGAGCGGAAAGGAAACGAGTATTTTTAGCGGTTACACATTGTTGTTGACCGCTTCTGGCGACATTGAATCGCGCTCTCGCGCTGGCCAGCGCGAACGGTTTAAACGTTGCGATCTCGCGCGTCACGAACGCGACTGATCTCTCACGCGGTACTCCGATGTACACGGATCGCAGATCAGGAATCGCTGAATGAGACTTCTTTTTCAGAGCGGGACGGACGGAATTCGAGAATTCGCGCGCGTGACGTCGGGCAAAATTGCATCGCCTTCCTTCCGCCTTCGGACGCGATTTTCGTGCAGAGTCAATGAAACGGTAAAGTTCAGTTGATGCAATGATAATTTGCATACGCGCGCAATTCTCTCTTTTTATGACCAGAAGATGCTTCCCGTTACACAACAACATTCAATCGCGTCAAATGAAATCGACGTGAGACCTACACCGAGAGAACAAAACGGTTAATCCCGCTGAAAAAAATTGTAGGCACTCTCGGTGCCGACCATATTTTTTGTTGTTGTCCTGACAAAAAGTAAATAAGTTTGGCACGGGGAGGGAAAATTGTTTGAATAAACGTGATAAGCGAATGAGCGAACCGCGTTTTTGTCGAGGGAAGCGGAATTCCCAGTTCTAAGTGCCGAATTTGATTCATAGGAATTCTGTTTTCTCCAATCAAAACAGGTAAATCTGTTCACTGTCACCATTAATGTAACCAAGTCTTTTCTCCGTGTAAGATTATTATTTTTGATGATATAATAAAACTCGTTACAGAATGATACTCCCGACTATAATCGTCTCATCGCGCAGAATTACAGTTGCAAATGCCAAGCATACTTTTCCAGGGTGCGGAATCTCATGATTTTTGCACGATAAGGTTTTTCAAATTTCTCATCTCGCCCGCATTTGACAAGCGCACACCGCGTACTTTAACCACAGGTGTGCGATCGCGGAAAGCGGGTGTGACTTAACGCGCGTGCGAGAAGCTAT